TCTATGTCTGAAGTGCTATTGCAACTTTTCACTGAACATATTAACTTTTTATTTGATTTAACTTTAGAAGAAAACTTCGTCGACTCCATCATCAAAAAATTTTTTACTTTTTTAACGCGTTTTATTATTTTAATAAACAATTTTACAATTTGCGTGCACAGTTCCTATGTAAATTTTTCCCTCATTCGAGTTATAAATTTTGTCACCACATGGTGTATGCCCATTTGACGGATCCCAACTGTAATCCTAAGATCTTAAGCAACCAAACAAAGGCATTCTTCGGTTGATAAATTAAGAAAAAAAAAGGCACTGCACTGGCCTGGGATAGAGCTCAGTCACGCCGGCATACTAGCCAACCATTCATACCGCACGACCATTCACATTTATTGAAAATTATACTGTTTTTCCCAGGGTGGCGGTCAAATAATTAAATATCTTTATGTTTTTTGTTACGTTTCGGTTTATTCAACCATTTTTATTGGAAGTGGTGTACATTTTTACATTTCGGGCATCACTAGAATGCAGGTGTGAAATTCACAAGACTAAAACCTAATCCTCTGTTTAATTTCATCTGTTTTCATTAATTTTGTTGGGTTATATTAAAATCCAAATAAGAAATGCTGTCAAATGTGTACTCTTCAATTAAAAATACCTTAAAGTAGAAGAGGAGTACATATTTCAAAACTACGAACGTAATCATATCAAATTAAATGCAAATAGGGAAAATATCTCATTGGTTGGAAGAATATCGGACGTTTAGATAATAATTATACGATTCAATTTTTGACAAGTGGCATCCAGCCGCATTTTATAAATTAATTTATGATAATAAGAGCGCGCTTTTCGCTTTGAATAGTGGGAAAACTAATTAAGCTTCTTAGACGTTTCTACTACCGACTGGCGCCTTCAAGTCTTCGACCTCTCCCTCAACTCCTGGAGTGCAACAGTCAAAACTGCCGTTTTCCAAAGTAATTTGTTTCCAACTACGTTACGTAGTAGTTCGGTGTTTCGGGAGCTTCATCCGAAGTCATTATTTGAGACGGATGATGAGGAGAATTCTTCAATTATCGTTGTGCTCATTACGTAAAGTGGCTCGTTAGCAACGACGGAGACGGCAAGTGGGTGAGCAAGAGTCAGGCGGCGAAGTTATGACGAAAACTATACGTTAAGATCCAGAGACCTTCTGGTAGATGTCACGGGATTAGATGATGGAAACGGTTGGGGTGCTATGTGTTAGAGCATCGGAATTGAGGATAGCGTAATTTGATAATAAATTAGGGGATGAAGTGAGAAGCGGAGTTACGAGAAAAATTAAATACATTGAAGCTTTATACTTGATAGAGGTTAATATCAATGTAATAATTCCATTAGAAATTAATGTGGATTAGTATTGAACCATCTACAGATTACTACTTCAAATTAATAACGAAAAATCTTTGCTGCTTTCACGTTCTCGCCGAGAATCGAACCCGGGATACTTGGCTTTACATGCCGATACTCTCACCACTCGGCTACGAAAGGTAACAGCAACAACAACCACGAAACACGCTAACTAGGTTAACGATACGTCGAAATTAATTTATATTTCTCTATATATATGAAGTAATATGTAGAAGGTCGAATATTAATTCACATTAAGTTATTAAAAAAAATAAATGATTCTGTTTCGTTTTATGCAAATAATTTTAGATTCAGTTGTTTCGGAACTAGCGCATTATCAGCAATGCTTCGTACAGCTAGAATTTCAAAAAGAAAAAAAAGATACTAATTCCCCGTCTCATTGTCCCTCTCACACACACACACTTGCGCTCTCTTAAAACACTAAAACACGAGCACGTTTCGCGGTAACTTAATCTCATTGTAATCACGTATTTTCGCGAAAACGTTCGCGATGATGTTGATGCTGATATTGCAACGGCATCGTTACGGCATCGGTAGCATGTTTCATTAACCGGGAAATAGCTTCATAAATCTACGAAGGAAGAGAGGGAGAGGATGGAAGTAGGGAGGAAAGAAGGAGACGGGATACAAGTAGGCGAGTATGAAAAGAAAGAAGTGCCGGGAAACTTTCTCTCTGATGTTCAATCTCCATGAGCGTGCAGCAAATGAAAATATTCAAAAAAAGGAGGTCACAAATCCTTCATTAGAGTCACATCATGACTGAAAGTGTCATAATTCAGGAATATTGAAAGGGTGTAAAATATATGATTTCAATAACCCATGAGGTGTAGGTACTGTAAACAATTACCCCTTACTTCAATAAAATTAAAGTAAATCTGATTACAATGAAATTCATTAAGAGATACGAAAGAGTTACTGGCTATAAGAACGCTAGGCTTTTGTCGATGAAGATTAATCAATAGATAAAACTAAGATGAAGCCTTGTCTTGGATGACCCACGATGAAAACATAGAACGAGTGCGATTTTTTGTAACTGGTTGAGATTCTCAATCGATTCAGAAATCGTGTGAGACCGTTTGTGTGATGTTAATGGATAGAAGCTGCACCTGGCCCATAATTCCATCACCTTCCCTTATTGGTACTCATCAGAGTTACCCCCCTGCTGCTTAAATACGTAATAATCATACGAAGGTACAACTACGAGGGGGAATCTCTTACAGGTTTCTGTTTTGATTTTTCATCATCATCATAAGATCGTCAGTCCTAAGACTGGTTGGACCCACACCTCCACTATTACCTATCCTGAGCTAATCTTCGCATTTCTCTAAAACTAGAACAACTCATATCCTTAACTATCTGCGAACAGTAATCTAATCTAGATCTACCTCTACCCCTCCTAACTCATGTTTCTGCCTCTAATATGTCTCTGACTAGACTTTCATGCCTGAAAAGGTGTCCTACCAACCTATCTCGCCTATTTTTTATTGACTTCCATAGAGTCCTCCTCTATTCTCCTATTCTTTCTAATACCTCTTCATTTCTAACCTTTTCTACCCACGTTATCCTCATCATCCGCCTATAACACAACATTTCGAACGCTTCTAACCTTTTCTTTTCCGCCGCGCCCACTGTCCATGTTTCGCACCCGTACAGCACCGTGATCCAAACATACACCTTTATGTGTTTTATGTTTCGATTACTGTTTAATTATTCTCAAACCTGGAATTGTATCGACGCCTATGCTTTGCTATTTTCCCATTTTCTCTCTGTTTTTCCTGGCATCCGATACTTCATTTCGCTAATTCGCTTATCGTCAATGCGAAGGACTGAAACTGAAAGAGCGTCCCGACCGGCGGCGCGACGCTCCGCCAGACGACGGTGCTACAACGACGACGCGACACAGCGCAATCGAAACAATTAAAGTTCGACCCCGACGCCGTAACTCTTCTTAAGCGTTTTTGGAAAATTTCCCCTACTAAAATTAGGCCTGTCGTACAAGTCTCTAATACAGTGTTTTCTCATTCTGATCCGCTCGTATTAATACTAACACAGCACGAGTTTTTAATTGATCGAATTATTTCTGTATTCTTGTTTAATAATTATGATCATCATCAAAAATATAGCAAATAAATGTCTACTACATAATCACTGTAGACACATGAAGATGTAGAAGTACCTCGTACCTCTGTTTCGATCAAATAATCACTATGCCAGACAATGACTGCCGTAGAGTCACTAAATATGTATGAACGGGGAGATGTATCTCATACTTCTATTACCATACCTGTAATAGAATGAAACGTATCCATCAAACAATCACTATAGTTCATTTACTTTCTGTAGCGATGTGCCTCTTCCAATGTCTTGGATGCGCGCTGGCAAAATCGTAGATAAGGAGAAAAAAGCTCATTATACTCTCGATTCTTGTTCATTAAACATACTTTTTCATACAGTACCTGCCACTAGTGAAAACAAGCGTTAAAGCCTATAATATGTCTTCAAATATAAATAAACATCTCGTTGGTATTTTCAGTAGTAAATGGTACCAATAACAACACATTTGAGCAATGCAATTGTAGTGGACAAAATGGTCATTTTTTCCGTGCAGTACTGTACGGATTATACGCTGCTCATCGGTTAAGAGTTTGGCCGAGAGTTGTCTCCTTCCTTTTCTGGCCTAGTGCTGTTCTTTTCTATTTTGCGTCGGTCAGACTGAAGGTCACATCGCTACAGAAACTAAACGAAGTACACCTATGCCAACGAACTTCTGCTACAGAATTGCTGAAGATGTACGAAGATGCAGATGTATCTCGTACTTCTGTTGCCCTACCTATAATAGAACGGAAGGTATCGGTCAAACAATCTATATGCCAATCAATGTTTGCTGAAAAATCACTGAAGATAGATGATGCATATGTATGTCGTAGTTTTGTTACCGTACTGTCTATTTGAATTTGTTAGAATTGTGACCTTGAAGAAACCTGCGCGAAGATAGAAAGAATACACACTAGGCGTGAGCAAGACAGAAATAGTTGGAACAAGCTTGAACGAGCACAGCTTTCGATGGGCGGTCTTAGGAGATCGGCTAGAACTGTACAGTACTAGACGAAAATGTTAAGCAATTTCTTAAAACAAAAATATACATAAATTAACACTAGAAAACAAAATAAAAGTTTTATAGGTGTAGAGCGTTAAGTTGATTGTCTTGTTATTATTTTTGGCTAAATATGCTTTTAAATAAAGCATATTCTTAAATTTTAACGAGGCAGTTTAAATAATTTGCAAATGGTACTGTACACTTTTGTCTAGTCTCGCTCGATGATCGGTGGAAAAATGAGCTCCGCAGACAAATATGATTGAATTTCGAATTATGCTACTGCGTATCCTAATAAACGGAAGGGGCATATCTCTAACTTGTTGAAACGAACAGTATCTATAATACACCGAAAGGTATCGACCAAACAACCGTTCTCTGACAACAACTACTTCTATCGGCACAAAACGTTCGTGAAAGATGGCCGTGAAAAGACCTTTCAAAACGATATCATCAAAAAATCGGGATCAGAGTTCCCGTAGGTCAGTGTCCGCGTCTAATTTTGACACACGTCAATTGCCGGCGCAAATAGTCCCAGACGTCGTGGACCATCGTGACGCTTCATCGAAAATGGCAGAACGCATCGTGCCTTTTCCCGATTCCCTCGTCAAATACAATAATCCCGAACTAGTGACCAAACAGGATGAGAAAGCACCACTGGCAGGGGCCGACAAAAAATCGCCAAGGCCGAAAACCGCCCCTCTCACAGCGGACGCTAAGCGGGAAACTGAAGAAGTACTTAACAGCATTTTACCACCCCGCGAATGGGAGGAAGAGGGTCAATTGTGGCGACAGAGGGTGTCAACGACGCCTGCCACACGCCTGGACGTAGTCAATCTGCAGGAGTCCCTCGACATGAAACTCTTACAGGTGATTACACGTTGTACCTGTTTAATGACTTAATTACCCCCGGTGTTAGTGGAAGACTTTTCTTCCTATAGTAACAAAAATAAATTTTTTTGTATCGTAGAGTGTCTGTCCTCCATTAGCTCACAGATAATTTATTGCGGGCTTTGCCAATTTTGAATCGTGAATATTCCTGGTGCTGCACTTTTTTTATTTTGAGTTTCCTATTTATCGGTCAATTATTTAGACGCTTATTTGAAATTTATTCAATTGAATCTTGTTCTTGAGACCCTCGCGTTGTTTATTTAAATAAAGGGGACGTCTTGCTACGCCCTTTGATGCATAATGCTTCCGTCTTGTGCTTCCCCGTAGACACATTATACGGGGCCCTCCCATACGGACTCCTTCTAAATTACCTTAACTTTCCGACCCCCCTATCACTTTCCGTTCTCAACCGCTTTACCTCTCCAAACTCTAAACATTCTAATTTAAAGCAAAATACGTCTGAATTCATGCGAAACAACATTTACCTAATTAATGACCAATTTCTACTCAAGTTGTACCCAAACAAAACTTTCTTTTTAATCCAATTCGGGAGCAATTATATAAAAAATATAAACTTACATTTATAATACCCTCTAAGTTCTCAAACATCTACATTTTCATTAAGATACACTGTATTGACATGTGAATTTCCTGTAACAGTAATGAACTCATAGTTACTGGTAAATCTCCACAGGTGGCGTTCATTAGGCCATGTCTAGATATTTACTAAACGCAAAAGTAGCCTGGTCGTGTTCTGTTGAATTTAACTTACTCTAGCTTTGGGATAAATTACAAACATAAACCGCCCCTGATTAGCATTACAATTTCACCGCTCATCATTTACCCCTTTTATAGCGTCAAGCTCGTGAAACCGGAATCTGCCCGATCAGAAGAGAGCTTTACGCTCAGTGTTTTGATGAATTGATAAGACAAGTAACTGTCAATTGTACCGAAAGAGGTCTTCTCCTGTTGAGGATACGCGATGAGATGAAGATGACGGTCGAAGCTTACCAGTCGCTTTACACCAGCAGTGTGGCCTTCGGTATGAGGAAAGCTCTGCAATCGGAACAGGGAAAATACGACTTGCAAGAAGATATTGAAAAACTGAAAGAAGAAAAATTGGAGCTGGAGCATCAATTGGCTGAATTGAAACAGAAATCGGAACAGAATGAAAGACGAGCAGCTGAAATAAGGGAAGCAGAAGAGAGAAAGCACAACGAAGAAGTGACGTTCTTGAAGAAGACGAACCAACAGTTGAAGATACAACTGGAAGGAATTATTGCACCTAAGAAATAAGATTTTTAATTATGTTTATTATTTTTACTGATTTTAATCCTAGGAAATTTTGTAATATTTATGATGTTTACAGTTGTTTATTATATCAGTGCACTAACAGAAGCTTTTATTATATTATATTATAGGTTTGCACTCATCGATTTTATTCTTCATTGATCTCATATTCTATTGAAAACAGATATTTTATAATATTAAAATAACGATTTTACTATTTGCATAATAAATGGTAAAGCCTTATCTATACGCCTTTTATTATTAAAGTATCCAAAAAAGCTGCTAAATTTTTCAAAAAGTCAATCAATAGAACTGTTTAACCTCATGGATTTACAGTCAGAAATAAATGCAGAAGTATATTGAATAATCAGTACACAATTATAAGACACGTGTATGAAACATTGGACAAACCAGCCGAATTCTGAAAATAAGTATCAAGGAACATGATTATCGCAAATATTGAGTTAAATTTCAAATAAAGGCGTTTATTTCCTATACTATTACGATAACAAGGTCATTGTTGCAAAATATGATAAAGCATGCATCTAAACGACCTACTACAATACTTAGACACGTTCACGTGTCGCAGTAAAAAGCTCTCGAATAATCCCTATATTCGTCACCTATTTACACCTTTGGCACGTAGAGAGTTAAGAACTAAGTTAGAATTACTACACGAACAGGATGAACACATCGAAGCACCTAATGAAAAAGATAGGAATAACTAACTAACTCAGAGAACTGTAATAGTACTTTACGGCAAGACATTAAAAGTAGCATTTTGTAACTGAAATTCAACATGATAGTCACAAATGTTACAAAAATGGTGTAAGAGGCATTATAGTAATCATTAGAACATTGCAAATATGTATCAGAAAATCACTACATAGTATAAAATAAAGGCGCTTTTCCGCTGTCTGTCCCTATGTATGCTTAAATCTTTAAAACTACGCAACGGATTTTGATGCGGTTTTTTTTAAAAGATAGAGTGATTCAAGAGGAAGGTTTATATGTATAATACATGCATAATATAGTAGGGAAACACTGATAATTTTAGAGGTTTCTAATGTGATGTCGTAAATAAACACATTTTTTGCGCTTACATTGCAAACGCTGGCTGAACCCTACGAGATAGATCAAAATAATGTACTACAATATTGTACATCTTAAAAGGGTCTACAAAAAAGTCCGGGATGGTATATGTCTATCTCTTAGGGATAACCCACAATAACCATTTTTATCCTTTACTTTTTATGAGAAATAATGACTTATTTACGAAGCGATTGTAGGCAATACAGCATTAATTCTTATCCAATTAAGTACCTTAAATACATTGTGCATTTAATATAGATCAATATGGCCCTTTACAGCATGTAATTTAAATGAATATTTTCGAAGATATTACAGATTTAAAATGCAGGGACATAGCGGTTGCGGCGGTACCGGCCGGGAGGCCGGTTTGTATTGTCTAATGACAAAAAAACTGTGAATGTTGTATATAAAGACATTCTGTAGTATATTTAGTATGTTCAGGGGGTATCTTTTGAAGATTTCCCCTTTTCGATAATAATCTAAACAAAACAAAAATATATATAGTATCAGCATTGCACCCGTGCGAAGCTGGGGAGGGTCACTAGTATCATAATAAAGCTGTTGTCACATGTAGAAAATGCATACGTGAAGAAACATCAAGGCCTGTGGTGGGTTGTCTAGATTGTGGTAATAACAAAGAGCGTTAGAATCTCTAGAACCTAAATTCTGGAATCTTTATAGAACAAGTCGCGCAAGGTCAATTCGAGCTCTAGTTTCGAAGCGATCATCATCAGCATCGTACCACATACATAACTACAGGTGTGTGTAAACAGTAATCTAATCTAAGTCTTCTTCTGCCACCTTTTACTCCCGTTTCTGCTTCTTATACCTATATGTCTCTTATGATGTAAATCAAAACAGTTAATCTCCATTTCTGGCCCATTCGTAAGCATTAATTTGAGTGACGAACGACCTATTCAATATTTTAAGCTACAACACAAACGCCTCATCGTTAGTTACCAACTTTTCACCGCCGCCCCTTCAACCTCATCCCCCTGTGTTCCTGCTCCACTCATTTACGTTTCCATACAACCTCTACCAATCAGTCAAGTCCCCGTGCCATCGGGGCGGAAAACTGGGGGAAATGGGGCGAATTTGGAGACGCCAAAATAGAAACCGGAAAGGAGCAGGCGCTTGCTTTGATGAAATTGTCTTGTTTATTGTTGTACCGATGCGAATGAGACATGGAGAAAGACAGACAACTAGAGGGAAATGGAGGAAAATTCGACAGAGATTAGATATCGAATCTAATAAATTGTTTACGACCACAGTAATGGAAATATAAATATGTAGCCCTAATAAAATCACAGCAGTTATATTTTAATCGACTTGGGAATGAAATTTCGGGCATTAATATTAAGTAGAAACAAATATTTTTTCAGAAATTTCAATTAATTAAACTAACGACTTACAGCAAACAAATCCATGTAGCCAAATGTAAACGAATCCAAATCACAGCATTGTTAGATGCAACACATCGACATTATTCAATCATCGACTATTTATCCTTTACATGCTTATATCTAATTTTAACCTAGTGACACTTAAGCATGCCAAAAGAGAAGAAAATTTCGATTAAACTGCAGAATCCTATTGAATATCATTTGCCTTAATATTGATGATCATACTGTATATGTACATTCGACACATAATCATGCGGTTAACAAATCACTACATTCCTGCAAAGTTGACTTCATATTCAGCTGCTGAACAATTCAACAGTAAATTTACATGTGTAGCTGGGCTAAGATTTGTCCGTACTACTTGCGGATTCTATTAAAATTCTCAAACTGTACGTAACTTTGAACAGAGTTAGCAGAAAGTTACCTAGAAGTTTGTATCGATGCTTTACGTATTCCGTTTTAATAATGAAACCAAAGTTTGGAAAACTTATGCCACACGAACGATCTCAAAAGTGTGTCTACCTACAATCCATATACAGACACGTGTAGGTATCTCTAGAACCTATTTCACTAATTAAATAATTCAACTACCGGTTAAGAATATATTAACACAATAAATTGATTAGGAATAGTTAATTCTGTCTTTTTCATTGAGTTAAAGAAAGTTTGGAACTGAATTTTTAGTACTTACGCCGTGCCAACACTATTGTAGCAAACGCGAGCGTGTTTGTGTGCGATTTGTGAACGACTTATCGATTCGCTGACTAGCCGCGGGCGCTTTTCTTCACATGCGCCGTATTTGTAAATGTGTGTGTAGTACCTGCGTTCTGGGAAAGCAGTTAAACAGTTCAAAGAAAAAAAGAAACTTTCCGGACGTTCCGAGAAGGTTCCCGAAAGTAAACACAAGAGTATTTAAAGGAAAAGACGATCGCCGAGAAAAGTAGAAATAAATTGACCGTAGCAGAAGCGAATCCAGAAATAAATTGACAGTGATAGAAGTGAAATAAATAGCGCAGTGAATAGTGATATATCAACAGTTGTGTAAATAAATAGAATAATTCATAACCTAAGTAGTAATAATTTAATAGTGTTTTAAGTTCTTTAATAATTAGTGTAAATAAATAGTTTTTGTCGTTATCACCCTTAGAAGTAAATTTTGTTAAACCCACGAACATTACACTATCAACTGTAGGTATTGCTGAACACTAATAATTCACGTAGATGTCTTAGTGGAAAAGACAGGCGAAAACTGTTTTTAGCGATTCTATTGTTTTTAATTAAGACTTTTGGACAAATTTATAAACGGAAGCCTTTATTAAAGGCATAAAACAAAGGACATTATTCAGATGGAAGGTAACGTGTCTTCAAACTCAATATCGGCAGCGAAAGTTTAAATGGAAGCTAAAGTATCATTAAGTAACAACCTGATTTGGACTATGCCGTTACTAACGTCATGCTGGTTTACAAAAGGATTATTATGAGACACTGCTCAATCGAAAAGAAACTCTCTTTCTTAGCAAAGTTCATTTAGTACAGCCGACGTCTGATCGCCTTAATGCACCATAATTCGATTATAGAGGATGAAGTTTTTCGCTGAAGATGCTCCTGTTCTGATATCCAGGAGCAAAAGTCGTAGCAAGCATCTCGGCGATTTTTACTAAGTTTACCCAACAATTTATCCCAAAAGTCCGTTGTTCATAATCCTGATTTGGAGGAGCGACTTGGAAGATGGGATATAAATGGCTGACGCGTCAAATTTCCACGATGTCTCACGTCCGTGCAGATTTAGTTGATTGTAAGGGCAAAGAAATCCTTTCCAAATCACTCAATACAAAACAATCGCCAATAAGTTATGCAAAAATGAATAGTGAATATTGAAATGTATTTCTAACAGCGAATGCAAAGCATCTTTGTGTAATTGTAAAATACAGAATTTTTTAATCGTAACCCTTGACAAAAATTTTCAGTCTCTCTCCAGTCTCTCAGAGTCTTTCAGGGTCTCTGAGAGCGTCTCTCATAGTGTCTCAGTTATTGTCCAGGTGTTTCTATATATCTCTCACAGTCTCTGTATAAGAAAACGATAAAATTGTTAATTCAGAGATTCGAGTCTCTCGTTCAGAGATTCGAGTCTCTCGTTCAGAGATTCGATACGAAATGAGGATCTCTCTATGAGCGACTCGAGTCTCTCGTTCAGAGACGCTAAACAGTTTTTTTGACAGTCTCTCGACAGTCTCTCTCAGCGACACCAGAGGGACTCGATAAGAGACGGAGACTCGAGTCTCGCTTTAAGAGACTGAACATTTTTATTTCGGGAATTCACCGATTTCAAGTTGTTTACCCCCTCTGGAAAACTCAACAAGAAAAAAAATTGTTAAGACAGCATTGTTTGGGTTATTTTCCCATCTAAAAGAGATTTAAAATAAATTTATCTGTTTGATTCGTCACGTTTCCATTCTTGGTTTTTATTTAGATTGATCGACATCTTTTAATTTCAATAGATATTGTCATTAAATATACGAATCGTGGATCAAACTGACGTCTTCGAAACGGTTCCTTCCTTTCTTTTATTCCTGAAAGCAATAATGATAACAATAATGGTTTCCCTCCCATTGAAAAGGAGGAACAGGTTCAATCAACGTGTTGCAAAAGGGGAACGGTCCCCATTAAATGA